TTCCCCTGCTTGACGCAGAAGCCGCTCTTGAGCACGGGGGGCCCCGCAGGCGGCTTGGTGGCCGAGGGGGGGATGTAGCTCTGCGAGCGCCGCAGCAGTGGGTGGGCAGCCACCTCACTGCCCTCCCCTCCATCCCCACCGTTCTGCAACCAGAGAGAACAGTTACTGGGAGCAGGCAGGGGAATTCTCTGCTGGAAGCAGGACATCCAGCTGGAGGCAAAAGCCACCTGATGCAAGCCCTGAGCGCAGTGTGTGAGCCAAGGGCTAATGGCAGTGCTGGGCAATGGCATTAGAGTCCAAGCCGATGTTCTCTTGTTGTGTGCAGCTTTCCAGGCTGCCACCTTGGTACTATTTATCCTTTTGGAATCCATGTGTTAAAAACGACGTTAAAAAGTCAGAAAAAGGCTACAGAAAAGCATTTGAGGGCTGAAGACAATCTCTTGCAGCAGGGGAGTTAAAGGAGCTCATCTGCCTGGCTCATCGCGCATTGAGAGGTGACTCGACTGCACCACTGAAGGTGTGAGGAGAACAAGAACCACCAGACAAACCCAAGTTAGAAAGCAGGGATGCTTTCCAGCAGGAGAAGGCAATGTATCATGGGAATAAACTGCTTGGGAAAGCCATAAAGTCTCTGCTCCCCATTTTCAGAGTCAAATTCTACCAAAGTCACTGGGGTGTTTGGAGTTCAGGTAGAAAAGCTGTGCCTCCTCTGGCCCCAAGTTGTCTCTCCCCAAGTGCAATGCTCACTGCTACGAGCATGAAGGGGCTTCAGGTGTGGCCATGTGCCCATCACCCATCCCCTGGCTCTCCCTGAGCACATCCCAGTGCACCCCAAGGTTGGACCCTGCCCTGCTGCCAGCATCGCCCCATCCCCCAGCAGTGCCCTCCCTTCCCCCAGCAGCGCAGAGGATGGTTGACATGAAACATCTGCTGCACTCAGCTCCTTCCTCATCCAACCAACCCCTTCCTCCTGCTCAGCTGAGGTTTGAGCATTGCCATGGCAGCAGGGTGGCCCTGGCCGCCGCCAGCC